AATTGTTCTTGTTCTCTGATATTGGTCACACTTCTTAACAAAAGTATGGGCATCCTTGAACAATGTTGGCCAAAAGAACCCAGACTGTAAAACTTTTGCAGTTTTCTTATCGCCTCCATGATGGCCTCCATACGGCGAGGCATGACAATCATACAACACTAATTCCGCCTCCTTTTTAGGAATGCACCTCCTTATCAACTGATCAGCATACTGTCTGTACAAGAATGGCTCATCCCAGTAATAGAAGTTCACATCATGTAGAAACTTCTTTCTAGCTTCAGATTCAATTTCAGGAGGAAGTACCCCGCTCACAATATAATTCACATAATTCGCATATGATAGGGGAAGGGTCTTGGGTAATAGCAAAAAGTTTCTCATCAGGAAATGCCTCCTTAATTTGTCCACCTTCCTCCAAGTGCTCATGATTTTCTAGCCTTAATAAATGGTCGGCTGCTTGGTTTCCTGTGCCCTTCTAATTTCGTATATCTACATAAAATTTCTTTAACAACAAAACCCAACACATCAATCTAGTCCTGGATTCCTTTTTTGTAAATAGATACCTGATTGTTGCATGATCGATATGGACTACAACTGTCACGACCCAAAATCTAACCATCGTGATGGCGCCATTCGTGGAACTAGGCAAGCCACAACTCAACATCTCAACATAGTAAAATCTTTGAACATAAAGATGGAAGCAATTTAATATTTAAGAAAAGCCTTTTTGAAAACAAAAATAATCCAAAACACGATACAATCCATCCCAAAACTGGGGTGTCATAGAGTACATGAGCGTTTAAACTAGAATACAGTCCACTATAGTGTCTAGGGAATAAAACTGAAATACAAATAAAGATAAATAAAGAGAGTCAAGGCATGTGAACGTCATGCAGCTACCTCGATAGTCTTTGGGATCTGGCACCTCAATCAATAGCCGCCCTGACCAGAAACGCCTGGATCTGCACACGAGGTGCAGGGAGTAACATGAGTACAACCAATTCAGTAAGTAACAAGTCCAACCTTTGGACTGAAAGGTAGTGACGAACTCAGCCAGTACAGTTAAAATAGAAATAACTGTGCAGAAACGTAGGCATGCTTTCAAGTTAAGATAGTTCAAAACAGTAAAATAGATCAAAACTGAACAATGTGCAGAATATAACTCTTCTACTTCTACATGTTAATGCACATGTTGTACGTGATGCACCATGTTGACAGCCTCATGTGCTCACGCTCTCAAATGCTCAACCACTCGGTATTGTATATGGCTATATGGTCCAGGGAAGATCTATCCCGAAATATATACATCACTGACCATCAGTCACCCAGTACCATGGAAGGCCAATCCGACCTGTGGAGAAGATCCATCTCCAGGTATCAAATGCTTCGGACAAGATCCATGTACAGGGAAGATCCATCCCTTAATAATATCAATCGCGCTCACTGGGGTGTGTACAGACTCCGGAGGGGATCCTACAGCCTAAGCGCTATCATAATATCAGTATAAATGTTGCGGCGTGTAGCCCAATCAATATCTCCAGTCTTACTCAAGGGCTCATAATGTCATGAAAACTAGCCCGAAACAATTATGTGATGTATCAATAAATAACAACTGAGACTGAGATATGATATGAAATGAATGAATATGACTGAGTACGAAATATCAATAAAATCAGTAAGGTGATAGCAAAAACGACCAGTATGGGTCCCAACAGTACCGGCATAAAGCCTAATCATGATATCTAGCATGATTGACAGCTTAATTACTTTATCACGCAATGAAAACACGGATATCAACAAGATAGAATCACTATATAGTGCCATGGAAACAACATGTCACAATTCTTACGTGCACGCCCGCACGCCCATCACTTGGCATGTGCGTCACCTCAATACCAATCACATAACACATAATTCGGGGTTTCGAACCCTCAGAACCGAGTTTGAAAGTGTTACTTACCTCAATCAGAGCAAAACTCTACTCCAAAATGTCTTTGCCTCTCAAATTTGTCTCCAAGCGTCCCTAGTCTAGCCACAAGTAGTACAATACAATCAATGTAGGCTAAAGGGATCAATTCCACAAGAGAAGTACTAAATTATGGTCAAAACTCCGAAATCGGCTCAAACCCGGCCCCCGGGCCCACGTCTCAAAATCTGACAAAAGTCACAAAATCCGAAAGCTCATTCACTCATGAGTCTAACCATACCAAATTTACTCAAATCTAATAATAAAATTCCATTCAAAATATCAAAAATCTAACTCAAGAACTCTTCCTCTTTTTCCCCAATTTTCCACCCCAAATTACAAATCAGATGATGGAATTAAAGTGATAATCATGGAATTTAGCCAAAACCAAGTAAGAATCAATTACCCAAATCAACTCCTTGAAAATCCCTTCAAGAATCGCTCAAATCCGCGGTCTCTAGCTCAAAATATGAAAGATGGGTTCAAACCCTCGTTTTTGAAATTTAACATTGTTTCCCAGCTATTCCTTCTTCGTGAACGTGACCATCCTCCCGCGTTCGTGTAGACCAATTTGTCTGCCTCTCAATTTAACTCTTCGCGAATGCGAAGCTTTACCAACTCTAATCTTCGCGAACACGACCCCTGCCCTACGAACGTGTAGACCAAAAGGCTGGGGTCCTCAGCTGCCTCAACATCTCTTCGCAAACGCGAGGCACCTCTCACGAACGCATAAGAGGAAACCAGAAGAATCACAACAGTAGTTATCAGCCAACAATCTAAGTCTACAAATGATCTGTTAACCACCCGAAACTCACCCGAGGCCCCTGGGACCTCAACAAACATACCAATAAGTCCCAAAACATCATACGAACTTAGTCGGATCCTCAATTCACCTCTTACAATATCAAAAACAAGAACTACACACAGATTCAAGCCTAATGAATTTTAAAATTTCCAAATTCTACAAACGACGCTGAAACCTATCAAATCACGTCCGAATGATCTCAAATTTTGTGCACAAGTCATAAATGAGACCACGAACCTACTCCAACTTCTGAAAATCCAATCCGACCCTGATATCAAAAAGTCCACTCCCAGTCAAACTTTTCAAAATTTCAACTTTCGCCAATTCAAGCCTAATTCTACTACGGATCTCCAAAGCATAATCTGGACACGCTCCTAAGTCCAAAATCACTTAACGGAGCTAACGGAATCACAAAATTCAAATCCGATGTCGATTACACATAAGTCAACATCCGGTCAACTTTTCTAACTTAAGCTTTCAATTAAGAGACTAAGTATCTCAGTTCACTCTGAAATCTCTCCTGACCCGAACCAACTAATCTGATAAGTCATATAACAGCTGTAGAATACAAAAGGACCAAAAAATGGGGGAACGGGGCTACAACTCTCGAAGCGATCGGTCGGGTTGTTATAATAACTTTTGTCCCCGCCAAGTATGTCCTAAATTTCTCAAAGGCCCACACAACAGCCAACAACTCCTTTTCAGTGGTGGTGTAACTCAGTTGTGCATCATCAAGAGTCTTATTTGCATAGTATATGGAGTAAATCATTGTGTCCTTTCTCTGGCCTAGCACTACCCTATAATATGGTCACTTGCATCACATATAAGTTCAAATGGTAAGAACCAATTTGGTGCTACAATAATGGGGCAGCCACCAACTTCTTTTTCAGCACCTCAAATGCCTTTAGGCAGGCTTCATCAAAATTGAAGGTCGCATCCTTATTAAGCAACCTGCACAAAGGAGTGGCAATTTTTGAAAAAACTTTAATAAAGCGTCTGTAGAACCCCATGTGTCCTAAGAAACTCCAGACACCCTTCACAAAAATGGGTAGAGGTAATTTTTCAACCGCCTCCACCTTTGCCTTATCAACTTCAATGCCACTCTGTGACACTCTATGGCCCAACACAATGCCTTCTTGTACTATAAAATGGCATTTTTTCCAATTTAGCACTAAATTTGTTTCTTTACAGCGGGCCAGCACCTTGGCCAAATTCTTCAAATAGTCATCATAAAAAGACCAAAAGACTGAAAAATCATCCATGAAGACTTTCACAAATTTTTCCACCATATCAGTGAAAATGGCCATCATGCACCTCTAGAAAGTGGTCAGTGCATTATAAAGACCAAATGGCATTCACTTGAAAGCAAAAGTACCATAAGGACATGTGAAAGTGGTCTTCTCCTGATCCTCTTTGCAAATGACAATCCGATTGTACCCCCGAATAACCATCAAGCAAGCAATAATATTCATGCCCCGCCAATCTGTCCAACATCTTGTCAATGAATGAAAGTGGGAAGTGGTCCCTGTGGGTTGCTTTGTTGAGCCTTTTGTAGTCAATGCAAACTCTCCACCCCATCACGCTGCGAGTAGGAATTAGCTTATTTTTCTCATTCTCTACTACAGTCATCCCCCTTTTTTAGGCACACATTAAACTGGGCTTACCCAGTTACTATAATAAATAGGGAAGATGATACTCGTGTAGCCACTTAATTACTTCCTTCTTCACGACCTCTTTCATAATAGGTTTTAATCTCCTTTGTTGCTCAACAGTGATGCGGTGTCCATCTTTCGGAAATATTTTATGCATGCAAAATGATATACTGATTCCTTTGATATCAACAATTCTCCACCTAATAGCTTTTTTTATGCTCACGAAGCACTCTGAGCAATTTTTCTTCTTACACATCGATCAAGTTGGGTGAGATAATCATTGGCAATATTTCAGAGTTCCCCAAGTAAACATAGTGCAGATGCATTGGAAGGGGATTGGACTCTAGCTTTGGAGCTTCTTCAATAGATGGTTTAGGAGGGGTCAGAGTAACAGGTCTACCAACCTCCTCGAATCTCCCAAGCCCATGGACATATTTGCAAGACATGTTAAGGACTTGCTCAATTTCTTCCATTACCTCATCTTCACTGCCTTATTCATCCCCCATCAAGGATCTTTCAAGAGGATCTATGGGGCTCATATAAGGCACCAATGAAGTCATCTCACTTTACACCACAGAAATTATGGATAGCTCTTTATAGTGGGCTGGCAATACAAGTGCTTTATACACATTAACACCTCCACTCGATCACCAACTCTCATTGTCATCTTTCCTTCAGATACATCAATAATAGCTCGGCACGTGGCTAAGAATGGATGCCCCAAAATAAATGGGACTTCCTGATCTGGCTTATAGTCCAAGATAATTAAATCAGCAGTGAATATGAAAGAAACAACTTGAACTAACACATTTTTAATCACTCCTTCAGGATGAGCAAGGGAGCAATCAGCCAATTGTAAAATCACAGTGGTTGGGCACAGCTCACCCAACCCCAACTATCTGAACACAGATAGCGGCATCAAAACAGAAAGCTCGCCCGAATGCATGCTTACCAATCGAGATTTGGATAGTGAAACTACCTGGATCATTCAACTTCTGAGGTAGCTTGCTTTGAATTCTTGAGCTACATTCTTCAGTGAGTGCCACAGTCTCAAACTCTGTCAACCTCCTCTTATTTGCCACTATGTCCTTGATGTATTTGGCATATTTGGGCTCTTCTTGCAAGATGTCTACCAGTGGAATATTAATTTGCACTTGCTTCAAAAAATTAAGAAACTTTTTATAAGCCGCATTATCCTTCACTTTCTGCAATCTATAAAGGAACGGAGGTGGTGGCCTCACAACTAATGGCGGGGGTTGTTTAGCTACAGCCTCTTCAGCTGGCTTCTCTAACTCCTTTGTATTTTTTGCATCTGCTTCTATGGTAGCTGGTTTCTCATTAAAGGTCACTTACTTTCTCTTTTTTTATGGGATTTCTTCTAACTGTCTCCTATTCCTCAATGCCATAGCATTAATAGATGCCTTAGGATTAGTCTTAGTGTCACTTGGAAGAGCTCTAACTGGTCGAGTATTTTGGGCATTGGCAAGTTGCCCTATTTGTCGCTCCAAATCTCTCATCGTTGTTGTTTGGGACTGTTGGTCAGCCATCAATTTCTTTAGCATCTCCTCAATGTAACTCATCGAGCTTGTAAGTTGTTCAGCCTGTGGTGGTCTATACTGTTGTTGAAGAGCTTGTGGCATGTACTAATTTTGAGCATCTTGGTTTCCACCCCAAGAGAAGTTTGGGCAGTTCCTCTAGTTAGGATTGTAAGTGTTCCCATACTGGTTGTCTGGGCCCTATTTGTGTTACCCACAAAACATACAGACTCTGGATTAGCTAGGCATAAGTCGCTCATTAGCTGGGCATAAGTCTCTCATGTGACCCTCTCCACATACTTCACAAAATATCTGAACCTGTTGCACTGGTTGAGCTTGTTGCTTGTTAACAACCAAGGTCATCTTATTGACTTGGTTAGCCAATGTGGCAACATGTGCTTATAATCCAGAGACAACATCTAACTCGAGGACCCTTGCAGATTTTTGCACTATGTGTCTTCCCATCTATTCTTGCCAATCAGGATTGCTTTTAGAGAATTTGTTCAATAAGGCATATATCTCATCGAAGCTTTTCTCCAACACTTGACCTCCCGTTGTAGCGTCCACCACAATTTTTGTCTCTGGATGTAGCCCTTCTGTGAAGGTGTGAGCTAAAATTTCATTTGTTTGGTTGTGATGAGGACAGTCTTTGAGAAGCCCCTTGAATCTTTCCGAAGCCCCTCTGATCTTTGCCATTTTTCCTGAAGGAAACAATCATGCCAAAACTTTTCTCACCAGATTATTTCATGATATAATAGAATTAGCTGGTTCCACCCTCAACCACCGCTTTGCTTCGCCCAATAGAGAAAATGGGAACAATGTGAGACTCACATAGTCCGGAGTGACTCTTGTTAGTGATATAAGTATCACTAATCTCCAAGAAGTTCAAGATGTTTTGTTGTGTATCCTCATGTGGAAGACCCATAAACTGCCAATTCGCATGTAGTAGCTGGATCATGCTCTATTTCAACTCAAAGTACCCAGTGATTCTGGGCTTCACGATGCTGGAGGTGACATTAGCAATGTTGGGCATCGCCACCTTCTGAACAGCCATATGTGGCTCCTCTGCCATGTCCATAAGCAATTGAACAAGTGCTTGAAGATTATATGTGTCCCTTACTTCCCTCAATCTCCTGTGAAATATTCTCTTAGGTTCGGTGTCAAAGCCTTGAAGTCTATCCTGGCTTCTGACCCTTCGCATTCAATCAAAGTTCTTGAGAGCAGAGCAACCAATAAGAAACATTAGACTTGACGAAATAAACAACTTAATTAAAAACTAGAAAGTAGTCAATATTCAAGTACCTGACAACGGCGCCAAAAACTTATTGCTCCCAAATGCTCACGTAGGTATACGTGGTCGTACAAGTAATAAAGTGATAAATCGAGTGTCGAACCCACTGATATTTGTGCTAACAACCCTCTAGTTTTACCAAGATTATTCAACCGAGCCAATCAGAGTTCAAATTCTAACAAGTAACTAATTAATCAAGCAACAAGTTAGTTGTTATATATTCAGTAGAGACAAATATTCCAGGGTTGTGATCGATTCACCAATCCTATTGTATTCTAGTCAACTCTCCCTTTCATACAATTCACTCATGGCTGTTATTTAATCGAACAATTACTCTCGTAGTATTCTCCCGAATTACTACTCGCCTATTCAAAATAGATTAACGCCTATATTTCTACGGAATCAATCTATTAAGAACACATTAAGATTACAATATTTAATTAAACATGGTGACTAGGTATATTCCTATCCTAACATAATCCCCCCCCCCCCCAGAGTTAAGACCATGCCCTCTTCAATTCTTCTCTAATCTAGACGTAGCTTTCCCAAGCATAGCATAGACAGTAAATATAACCTAATTGTTGGGTAGACAATTAAGCTATGATTGAAGAAACAATCATATATTAGTAAATTGTAATGTCAACTTTAAACAACAATATCCATGTCTAAATCACAACCCCAGAACTATGGGTTTTAGCCACTCATGATAATATCAAAACAAATTCACAAGTGTTGGATAATTGAGAATACTAAGAAAAGATGAAGAAAATAGAGATATCCTTGCTCCCAGATGTTCCTCGTGTGTATTTTTCTCTAAAGTGGTGTCTCCTCCCTACAAATAGGCTTAGTCTTGCTTTTATACGCGTTGGGGGAAGGGAATCTTGGGCCGAAATAACCTTGTCCCTGACGAACTAGGAGAATTTTGGTCACCAACGCCCTGGGTAGCGTGGGGCGCTAGCCCTGGCGCTGGACGTTTTTAGCATACTGACTTCTGCACCACAAGTAGTGCCCCACGCTGCCTGTGGCGCTACTTTGTGGCCATTTTCCCATTTTTCTCATTTTTGCCTCCAATCTCGCACCTTCGCCCCATATTGCCTCCGGATGATTCCTACACATAAAACACCACAAATTAGCACAAATCATTACATTTTACATTCAAAATCTATGAAACATGAGTAAAATGCGAGGGCGATATACATATAAATATACATACTTTAAGCTAAATATCAATATACTTGTTGCAATGATGAAAATTTGAGAAAAAGCAAAAAAGAAATAAAAATGATGTTTAAAAGTGTATTACTCATTTTCTAATGATAAATGTAAGCTTTTTTATTATATACTAGTCTTTAGGTACGGGCTTTGCACGTGTATCTTGATCAGTGAGTATAGACTTTTTAAAAACTATATAAAAATTATAAAAGAACGTATTTGAGTTAGAAAAAATAAGAAAAAAATTTAAGTCCTGAAAATAATGATTTTTGATGTTATTAAACTACTCAGCAAAATTGTATATTTCAAAAGGAAAAAGTCAATGTTGTGAGTATAGTGAAAGGGATAGTGCAGGAGATTCATATACGAGCTTAAAATTGTAAAAAACTGGATGCCTACCTAAGTAATATGAACTGGTACCCAGTATAATCTAGAAAGGAATACGGTTGGTTAGAGGGTAATGTAGTATCCTTACATTGGGGCTTCATGTCCAACAAAGGATAGTAGAGAAGTTTAGTCTCTGGGTATATATTGTAAATATTTACTTGATAATAAAAGTGTTTAATTACCTAAAAAGAAAAAAGAAAAAATACTCAGCAAAGATAGAAATTATGCCTTATAAAAGTGCTCACAGTGTAATCCAAATATTAATAACGCGTTTGCACAAGAGATACAAGTACCAATAGAATACTATAGTGTCACATTTTCCTTTATAACAATGATCGGATATTTCTAAGTGTAAGATTTACATAAGTAAACTCTTAATATTTTTAATATTTTTGAATTTTTTACATAGTTAAATAAGAAAAAAATATAAACTCCTAAACATAGGTTTATATAAAGTAAATTCTTAATGTTTTCAAAGTTTTAAATAGTAGGACTTTCTGCATATTTCAAGCAAGAAAAATTTAATACATAAAATTTTAATTAATTTTAAATTTCTAAATATTAAAAAAAATTAAACAACTATCTAATGAATTATTTCTTATAGTAATTTACCCATATTTAAAGGTACTACAAATTTTTTATTTATTTATAAAGATCAAATTTGGATGAGATAAAAAGCTGCGAGTTTTAAGTTCTATTTTTTCATTCTATGTAAATATTAATTCATTAATAGTAGTATCTTATGGGTAATATAGAATTAAAACTATAGTACATAGTGCATCTCTTGTTAATGAAAGGATAGGGGAGAAAAAAATGTGGTAAAAGTATATTGGTTTTTTTTCTTTCTTTTTAATGATTTATATAAGGTAAAAGTATAATTGAACTTGAAGTCCTAAATATTAGGATTTCATACCTAGTTCAAATAAGGAAGAATTAAATACACAACATATAATTAATTTTTAAGTCCTAAATATTAGGATTTCATACCTAGTTCAAATAAGGAAGAATTAAATACACAACATATAATTAATTTTTAAGTCCTAAATATTAGGAAAATAATTTAAATGACTATTTTGTCTAGTATAAAATTAACTTTTAAAGGGTAAAAGGATGTGAACGATGTTTCGCTAAGGGCTTTCGTGATATATATATATATATTAAAGCAAGAAAGTTACCATATATAATTGCATTGTGGTTAAGCCAAGTTGTAAGCTAATAAATGCAAATAGTATATGGTAACTTTATTGATAGTTTCTAATTGGTAGTTTCTATAGCAATTTTCAAGTGTAACAAAAAGTATATTTAAAAAACATTGGTATGACATGAAATATTTTTTTTAAAATGTAAATAAATTATTTCAAAATGGAATTTTTTTAATATAATGTAATTTTAAAAATAAATGGATAAGAAATTTTTAAATTTTGTAGAGTTTTTAAATTATTATAATAGAAGTCATATCATGGATAAAATCAAGAAACCGAAATCTTATGGAATATTTATATAAATATCTGGCCAGATTTATTGTTTACGTTTTATAGATAATATCCATAGATGATATACCGGCAACACATGATTATATATAAATTACACAATCTTCAAATTTTTAATTTAAGTGGTAAGGCGAGCACATATTTAGATTGATTATATAAAGCCAAAAGAAAAATATGGAAGAATTTCAACGAAAGACTAAAAATATAAATAAAGTTCTTATGTAGACAATTTCTATTTAAACTCATCCTTTTATAGAGAAATAAATTAATTTTTTGTAAAAAAAAAGATATAAAAATAAGATAAAAGAAAATAAATATAGAAAAAATATATGAAAAATCTAAAAACCATAAATAAGAGATGACAACGAATTTCTTCTTCTACTTCATCTATGTTAAGTATAAAAAAATTGGAAGTTGATATCATCGATTTTGAATATTTTTTTCAACTCAAATACATAGATTATATGTCACGACCCCAACCCCGGTCGTGATGGTGCCCAACACAATGCTATGCAAGCCCGATCAATTAACATCTCACAATCTCTTTCTTTATAATTCAGTACCAATTTTCGGGATTTAATACAAATTTAATATAAATAGAAATATGAATTTAACAGATAAAATGTGCAGAAACCATAATCACGAAAGATCTCTGTAAAACAACTCACTGATCCGGTGTCACAAGTCTGAGCCTCTAATACAAGGTTTCAACAATCTAATACAGA